AGATCTAAAGTCCTGTGTTGAGGTTAAAAAAAAAAAAAACCATACAAGAAGGGATAGAATGGAAAGACAGCAGGTTACTTGAGAAAAAAAAAACATATTATAAAAATTAACGTACTCTTGGCCTGGCATGGTGGCTTACTCCTATAATCCCAGCACTTTGGTAGCCTGAGGCAGGCAGATCACTTGAGGTCAGGAGTTCCAGACCAGCCTGGCCAACATGGTGAAACCCTGTCTCTACTAAAAATACAAAAATTAGCCAGGTGTGGTGGTGCATGCCTGTAGTCCCAGCTACTTGGGACTTAAACCCAGGAGACAGAGGTTGCAGTGAGCCAAACTGCACCCCTGCACTCCAGCCTGGGTGACAGAGCGAGACTCCATCTCAAAAAAAAAAAAAAAAAAAATTAACATACTATTGCCCTGCATAATTGTGTGCTGCTTTACAGCAATATAGTCTCCCTGTCGTCTTTGCTCACAAGGTTAATATAGCACCATCAATAAGGTTACTTCTGGGCACCATCTTCTGAGGGAAGAATTAACAAACAAGTTCCACTAAACAATAATGATGAAGATTTTCATTTACTTATTAACACACATATAGTATTTACTGTTTCAGAGACTATTCTAAATATTTTACAAACGATGTCATGAGGAATTGAGACAGAATTTAGGAATATTTAGCCTGAATGTAATCTTGCCAAATATCTAAAGGGCTATCATGTGGACAAAGTCGCCCATTTATTTGTGCCATTATATAAAAAAGTAGTAAGAAACAGGGATAAAAGATCTGGGCTCCACAGAAAAACCTGAGCTGTCCAATGGTAGAATCTCTTTACAAGGCTACGATAAGGAAAAATGAGAAAAAAAAAATATATTAAAGAACTTTGCTATAAAACACCAAACACACATTATGAGAATTGACTTCCTTGCAAGTAATAGAAATATTTACAAAAAGGTTCATCATATGCTTTGGAGTCCTTGCTATTATTTGTAGTTTTGAGATTTATACTATATAACTTTAGTGACATTTCCTTGCCTCTCTAGGCTTTACTTTTCTTGCTTTTAAAATGTTTTTATCTGCTTTAGGCCAGGTACAGTGGCTCATGCCTGTAATCCTAGAACTTTGGGAAGCCAAGGTGGATGGATTACCTGATGCCAGGAGTTCGAGATTGGCCTGGCCAACATGGTGAAACCCCGTCTCTACAAAAGTATAAAAATTACCCAGGCATGATGGTGGGTGCCTGTAATCCCAGCTACTCTGGAGGCTGAAGTGAAAGAATCACTTGAATCTGGGAGGCAGAGGCTGCAGCAAGATCAGATGGTTCCACTGCACTCCTTTGCAAGGCTGCTGTGAGGATTAAATGTTACAATGTATGTAAACACTTAGCACTCTGCTGACCCACTGGATAAATTGTATCTATTATAAGGACAATAATCATCACTGTCATCATCATCATGTTGTGAAAGGAATCCCTACTGTGAACATAAAACTATGTAATACATGGTATAATTGTCTGGCTCTGCTATGTACCTGTATGAGTATATAATTCTGCTATGGACTTACGGTAAAGCAATCCAAAGGGAATATACAGCTTGCTTCTATTATTATCATTATTTTTTTTGAGACAGAGTCTCACTCTATCACCCAGGTCGGAGTGCTGTCACCCAGGCTGGAGTGCAATGGTGCAATCTTGGCTCATGGCAACCTCCTGGGTTCAAGTGATTCTCCTGCCTCAGCTTCTCAAATAGCTGGAGTTACAGGCATACACTACCATGCCCAGGCAATTTTTCTATTTTCAGTAGAGATGGGGTTTTACCATGTTGGTTAGGCTGATCTTGAACTCCTGACCTCAGGTAATCCACCCATTTTAGCCTCCCAAAGTACTGGGATAACAGGTGTAAGCCACTGTGCCTGGCCAAGCTTGCTTTTGTTTCAGTGATTTTAACGTATTTATCTTTTCTAATTTTAAAGGAAAAAAATCTTAAAAATCTAAAAACATCCAGGTTACTAAAATATCAAGAGTAAAAGTAATAATGTGTCAGATAAATTTATGAGGCTATGAGAGAAAAAAAGACTAAATAAGATGCACTTTTTTTTTTTTAAAGATGGGGTTTCACCATGATGGCTAGGCTGGTCTTGAACTCCTGACCTCAGGTGATCCACCCACCTCAGCCTCCCAAAGTGCTAGGATTACAGGTGTGAGCCACTGTGCCCACCTCAAGAAGCACATTAAATTGAAGCTACTCTTCCTAGGATACCTGACTGTAGATGAGCATGTACAGTGCACGGGGGGAAACAATTATATTTTCCCCAGGTATGTGAACCAATGGTTACATTAATCAGAAACGTTACTGATATAAGGGGTGCTAAACACAATAAAAATCTTCTTTTGAAAAAGTGAATTTCAGTGGGCTAAGGACAAGAGTTTAAGAGTATACAGGATTCTAATTACTTTGAACAGAATTTGAACTTAAACAAATGTACTCCTAAATGTTGGGTTGAAGAAGACATGGATGCCCAACAATCCTGTAATTCAGTACCTTCTGTGATATTCATCCATCTCTTCTTTCAAAGGGAGTTAACTCTCAAAACAAATTATTCTGTTTCAGGGATATTTCAAAGTAATGTAACTATAACTACTATGTAGACCAATGGAAAAACTTCATCATAATTTAATAATAAACTGAAGCTACAACCCATCTCCCACTAACAACTGTTTTCCAAAGGGTTAGAATATAATTGCCATCAACAACAAACAACATTATGCTTCTACAATAATAGTAAAATAATTAAGTAATTTAAATGTAAAAATGAAAAACTGGCTGCAACTTTTGGGGATTCATGATAAATGATAGGTGGTGATTTTATTACAATTACAACATTGTAAATTCAGAAAACAAGTGCAGTTGTTAGAGAATTATACAGCCAAGAGAAACCTTACTCATTTTTTTATCTTAATTTTTGTCCTAAGAAGCCTACAACCCAATGGAATTAAGGGAGCTTATTTCACAGGCAAGTATTTCATTGATACGTATATCATTTAGAGCACAGAGTTGGTTCATTGTGTTCTAACTGAATATATGCTATGTTCATATTAAAAGCAGAGGGATAAACAATATTTGCCAACTACCCGGTTTAAAACAGCCTATTGTTAAAAATGTCAGTTATTAGTTTTCATTAATAACTGTTGCTTAAAAGTCAACTCAATCACATTATTTTTTAGAACAGAAAGATACTCAGCTGACAAGGCAAAAAGAAATAGTCAATATAGACTGAAGATAAAATTACTATAAAAATCATAATACTACTTCTAGTCACAGTCATCAAGATGAGACATTACTATTAGCAATTATCTACTTAAAACAAGCAAACAGTCAAATCTCTAACAAAAATCAACAGTTGAGAAGTCACTTTTAACTGTTCTAAGTTTCAAATACCAACAAATTTCTACCGTGTGGCTTTCATAAATCAAACATTCTAAGTTTACTGAAAGCAGACAAAAAAGAAACAACCTGGTGGCAGGTAGAATCACAACCACTTGCAGTCAAGATGGGATCTGTATGTGAGTCATGAAGGGAGGAGGGCAATTTATGTGGTCAAAATTAAAAATGCTAAGATGGGAGGAAGGAGAGAGAAATAAAAAATATACAGCTCCATAAACAAAGGGAGAAAACCAGGTTGGGTGAGAGGCAACCTAAAATTTCTGACAGTCCAGAATCAGCACATCGAAGGTTTGTCTCAAACAAAACAGTTTCTCACTAGAAACTCTGAAGTGGGCCAGAAAGAAACATTCCTTTGCACCCACAAGAACCAAACCGCTGACCACTGGCACGCTATTACTGAGTCGGTCATGATTTACCGAATGGCCCGGATGATGGGCAAAGGAGAGGAAAAAAGAGTCGGCTGGAGGTGGGGGCCTAGGATTCCAGAAGCCTGGGGAGGCACACCCTAAGCTGGGGAAGGAGAGAGGTGGAGAGGGGCTAGCACTCCTCACCGTGATTATCTTTCTGCCCGATATTGTGCGTGCGGATGAGAGAAGACAGTCTCCTCACATCCCCCTTGAAGACGCACTCGTGCACTGGGTAGTGTGCGGAGCAACTGCCTCCATCCGCGACGACAGGAACGGGGTTGGTGCCGGCCAGAAGGGCCGGGGACTGGGAGGTGGCAGTCACAGAGGAATTGTGCAGCGGCAGGGCCGGGGCGCCGGGGGGATTGGAGGAGGCCGGAGCTGCCTTCAGCTGCAGCCGGTGGTGATGGTTACTGAAGATCTTATGACAAGCTTTGCTGCCCTTGCCAATCCTGCTTCTGGTAAAAGTGCCGCCGAGGGCAGCCGCCGCTTCCTCATCCCCGGGCTCCAGCAGGTCCCCTTCTTCTTTGCTGGGCTTGTGGTCCCTCCGCAGTGAACGGATCTTCTCCCCGGTCATCGCCGCCGCCAGGGGCAGTGGGGGGGATCGGGAGGCTCACCGCCCGCGACGGAGCTGGCGCTGCGGCGGCACAAGGCGATTAGAGCGGTGGCCAGGAGCCTCCAGCGCAGCATGAACTCCCACTGCGCCCCAGAGCCTGGGACAAACGCATCTCCCGGGAAAGAGCCGGCTCTCGCCTCGGCACGAAGGGACGCGCGCTCGCTGTGGGGTGCTAGAGCTCGGGTGCCCACAACACCAGGATCTCCGTCTCGCGGTCAGAGCCGCCGCCGTCGCCGCCTCAAACCTAAAAGCAGGACACGGCCATCTTCCTCTTGCTCCTCTCGCGAGAGCTGCTCCGGGAGTGAAAAGGGAGGAAACACCGCGATAAGTGAGCCGCCCGCTCCCTCCCTCGCACCTTTTATTCCCAGAGTTACTGGGTGCTGGCGCCTCCCAAGCAGCGTGTTTCCGCAGGAGCTGGAGTCTTCCAGCTGCCAGTGGCCCCGAGCCCGCACTCCCGCCAGCTGCGCTTTTTGTGGGCGGTCTGAAACCACAGCCTGCGTTGGAGCTGCTAGGTGCTAGTTAAATAACCACGTAACCCCTCCGGATCTGAGCCTCCCGCAGAGGAGTGCCGAATGACGCCACGGCACGCTGGCTGTGATGCCTCTGAGATGCACAGGATACTCATTCAATCAGCATTTAGTAAGCATCTACTTCGTGCCACACACCTAGTTCGCAAATATGTAAAAGCACCAGTCCTCATTCCTCATTGCAAGAAGCACTGTAGAAGAGGAATTACAGCCAAATACTTAAAAGCGGAGGCGGGGAGGTGCCTTGCACAAAAAAAAAAAAAAAAAGGAGGGGCGAATTTTAGTGTTCGGTTGTCAGGAAAGTCATGGAAAACGATGGGCTGTTCAACAAACGGAAAGAGGAGAGGCCACTTAAATATTTATTAGATGAATGAATTTCGTGCAGATGTCAGAGTTAACATATGAGGGTGGGGACACTCAAGGGCAAATAATCGTGTAACTGAAATATAACTCTAAGCCCGGCTCAGTGGCCCGCGCCTGTAATCCCAGCACTCTGGGGGACCCAGGCAGGTAGATCACTAGGACGGGGCCAGACTGATCAACATGGTGAAACTCGTGTCTACTAAAATTAAATTAAATTTAAAAGGCCGAGCGCGTTGGCTCACGTCTTTAATCCCAGCACTTTGGGAGGCCAAGACGGGTGATCACCCAAGGTAATTGATCAAGACCAGCCTGACCAACGTGGGGAAACCCAGTGTCTATTAAAGGAAAAAAAAAAAAAAAAAAAAAAACCAGCCGGGCATGGTGGCGCGCCCGCTCCAGCTACTCAGGAGGCTGAGGCAGGAGAATTGCTTGAATCCGGGAGGCGGCGTTTGCGGTGAGTCGAGATTGAGCCACTGCAGTCCAGCCTGGGCGACAGAGTGAGACTCCATCTCAAAAGAAAAAAAAAAAAGAAAAAAGAAGTATAACTGTATTAGTTCATTACCAAACTCAACCCAGTGTCAAACTCTGAAGAAATCTGCCAACCATAAAACTTTAACATAAAGTTACTAAAGCTGGACACTGAGGAGGTAAGGGTAGGGTTGGCAAAACATCCTAAAGCTCTTCATCCATTTATCTCTCCAAAGGCCCCCTATATTCTAACAGCAAATCGCTCAGATCTCTCTCTCTCTTTTTTTTTTTAGACAGAGTCTCTGTTGCCCAGGCTAGAGTGCAGTGGTGCAATCTCGGCTCACTGCGACCTCCATCTCCCAGGTCCAAGTGATTCTCCTGCCTCAGCCTCCAAAGTAGCAGGGATTACAGGCCCGCACCACCACACCCAAATAATTTTTGTATTTTTAGAAGAGATGGGGTTTCGCCATGTTGGCCTTGTCTTGAAGACAGCCCTTGTCAAGACCAGGGCTGGTCTTGAACTCCTGACCTGAGTGATCGGTCAGCCTCAGCCTCCCAAAGTTCTGGGGTTACAGGCATGAGCCACTGCGCCCAGCCAGATCTCTTTTTTCTTAGTTTATACTATTCCTAACTCACCTCTGCAAACAACTCCATAGGCCTCTTTTAATCCTCCCCTGTCACTCAGCTTTTCACCTCCAATTTTCTTACCAGTCTATTCAGATAAATCTCTTTCTTCCTTTTCTTTCTTTTTTGGTGAAGGGGAGAGTTTCCTTTGTGTTAAAACATTACCCAATCTGCAGTTCAAAGCATCCTCGTGAGGCAGCAGTAGAGATTGAGCAAATACATGCAATAATATTTTCCTCTTCACAATAGCCAATATTTATTGTTAACTTTAAGCCAGGCAGTATGCTTGGCACTTTATATGCTGTTATCTCCCAATGATTAGCATTAATATCCTCACTTGCAGTTAAAAAAACTCGTGCAATACTTGAATATCTAGAATGTGGTACAATCAAATCTGACTCTGATGCTAGAGAGAGGAAGGGCCAGGTCATGCAGCTTTGTATGTCACCTTAAAAGTTTACACTTTGCTGGGTGCAGTGGCTCACACCTGTAATCCCAGCACTTTGGGAGGCTGAGGCAGGCGGATCACCTGAGATCTAGAGTTTGAGACCAACCTGACCAACATGGAGAACCCTGTCTCCACTAAAAATACAAAAAAAATTGGCCAGGCGTGATGGTGCATGCCTGTAATTCCAGCTACTCAGGAGGCTGAGGCAGGAGAATCGCTTGAACCCAGGAGGCGGAGGTTGTGGTGAGCCAAGATTGTGCCACTGCACTCCAGCCTGGGCAACAAGAGCGAGACTTCGTCTCAAAACATGAACAAACCAACCCCACAAAAGTTTACACTTTATCCTACAAAAAAGAAAGAAAGAATAGTCTTTTTAGGGATTTTAAACAGGGACTAGCATAATGCAATTCACCTTTTTAGAAAATTCAGTCACTCATACTTTAGATAAGTATGCATCAAGAACAGAACTTTAAAGAAGTGTGCAGGCCGGGCACGGTGGCTCAAGCCTGTAATCCCAGCACTTTGGGAGGCCGAGGCGGATGGATCACGAGGTCAAGAGATCGAGACCATCCTGGTCAACATGGTGAAACCCCGTCTCTACTAAAAATACAAAAAATTAGCTGGGCATGGTGGTGCGTGCCTGTAATCCCAGCTACTCAGGAGGTTGAGGCAGGAGAATTGCCTGAACCCAGGAGGCGGAGGTTGCGGTGAGCCGAGATCGCGCCATTGCACTCCAGCCTGGGGAACAAGAGCGAAACTCCGTCTCAAAAAAAAAAAAAAAAAAAGAAGTGTGCAGTAATTCAGATGACGAGAGCATGAACCAAGTTAATAAGAGTGAGGCAGAAAAAGGTTTAAGAGTTTTTTTAAAAATGAGTTTAATCTTAGCATATTGAGTTGAAAGTTGCATAGCTAGAGGGAGTTAGATTGTCTACATCTTAGATATTTGCAAGTGAGCCTTAGGTGACAGAGAACTAGGTATAGGCTGGATTCAGGAGTTCTCATTACACACTAATTGATGCTCCAGAAGTGGGTGAGTTCCCCAAGAAGAGTTTATAGAATAAGAAATTAAGAAGGTCCAGTATAGAACAACATCTTGAAAACACCAATATTCAAAGTGTGTGTATAGGGAGAGTGGCAAGCATCCTATTATTACTAAAAACCTGCACCAAATAATATCCCATTATACTTGTGAAGTTTCCTATCACTAGATCCTGAATTTAAAAGTTCTTTATTAGCGGCTGTCACCCATGGATGAATGTGGAAATTCCTAGGTATCCCTCCAGGGAAATCAAACACCATACACATCGAAAATAATATTCAGGCCAGGTGTGGTAGCTCACGCCTGTAATCCCAACACTTTGAAAGGCCAAATTGGGATGATCACTTGAGGTCAGGAGTTTGAAACCAGCCTGGGCAACTTAGTGAAATCCCATCTCTATCAAAAAATATAAAAAATTAGCCACACGTGGTGTTGAACACCTGTAGTTCCAGCTATTTAGGAGGCTGAGGTGGGAGAACCACTTGAGCCGGGGAGTCCAAGGCTGCAGTGAGCTGGGATTGCACCACTGCATACCAGCCTGAATGACAGGGATCCTGTCTCTAAAAATAAATAAATAAATAAAATGCATCATTTATTTATTTATTTTGAGACAGAGTTTTGCTCTTGTTGCCCAGGCTGGAGTGCAATGGTGTGGTCTTAGCTCACTGCAACCTCTGCCTCCTGGGTTCAAGTGATTCTTCTGCCTCAGCCTCCCAAATAGTTGGGATTACAGGTACCCACCACCACACCCAGCTAAGTTTTGTATTTTTAGAGATGGGGTTTCACCATATTGGACAGACTGGTCTTGAACTCCTGACCTCAGGTGATCTGCCTGCCTCGGCCCCACAAAGTGCTGGGATTTCAGGCATAAGCCACCACACCAGGACTTATTTTTGTTGCTTTTTTGAGATGGGGTCTCATTCTGCCAGCTAGGCTGCAGGACAGTGGTGTGATCTCAGCTCACTACAGCCTCCGCCTCCCAGGCTCAAGTGGATCCTCTGGCCTCAGCTCCCTAGTCCTGGGACTATAGGGCCTGGCTAATTTTTGTGTTTTTTGTAGAGACTGGGTTTGGCCCTGTCACCCAGGCTAGTCTCAAACTTCTGAACTCAAGCCATCAGCCCAACTCAGCTTCCCAAAGTGTTGGGATTACAAGTGTGAGTTACTGCACCCAGCCCATACATTATTATTATTATTATTTTTATTGTTATAGAGACTGGGTCTCACTATGTTGCCCAGGCTGGTCTTCAACTCCCAGGACCAATTGATCCTTCCACCTCAGCCTCCCAAAGTTCTGGGATTACTGGCATGAGTCACTGCACTTGGCCCCATCCATTATTTTTAAGGACTTGTAAAAACGACAGAAATATAAGATTACAATACACTATGAAAAAAATGATAGAAATATGATTGCAATACGTGAAGAAAAATACAAGGATTGAAATTAGATAGGAGCTCCCAATATAATATAGAAGAAGAAGTTATTCTATCTGGAGAAAATAGAAATCAGATGATTAGAAATCTTTCTGGGGCTGGGCACTGTGGCTCACGCCTGTAATTCCAGTACTTTGGAAGGCCAAGGTGGGCAGATCGCTTGAGGTCAGGAGTTCGAGACCAGCTTGACCAATATGGTGAAACTCCATTTCTACTAAAAAATACAAAAAAAAAAAAAACCAAAAAAAAAAACCAGCCAGCCATGGTGGTGTCTGCCTGTAGTCCCAGCTGCTTAGGAGGCTGAGGCAGGAAAATCTCTTGAACCTGGGAGGCAAAGGTCGCAGTGAGACGAGATTGCATCACTGCACACCAGCCTGGGCAATAGAGGGAATCTCTGTCTCAAAAAAAAAAAAAAAAAAAAAAAAAAA